GATGAAGCGCCAACGATCCAACCTGTCCTACTGGCTCCGCGGGCAAGGTGCCAAGGCCGCCTACGACAATCTGAACAATGCTAAGAAGAACGAGTTCTTGGTTAATTGGTTCGCTGGCAAGGTGAAGAAGCTCGAGGGAGAGAACAAGCTCAGCTCGATGCGCTCGCTCCGGGCTCAAAGCCAGGTTGCCCAAGATCACGAGTGGATGTCGAAGGAGACAATCTACCAGCGGCTCGGCCCGAACAAGGGCCATGCCCAGATCGACAGCGGCACATTGGAGACTCGAGCTGACCGAGACCAAGACGAACGACAAGAACCTGTCCAACAAGCAGAAGATCACCGACGAGGCGAGGGCGAAGGAGATCCTCGACCACGTCGAGAGCATCGCGGAGAATATCGCAGGGGTACCGTCGGCGACTTCGAGCGGCTCCACAGATCTGGCACCTGTCGAAGCCAAGGTCGAGGTGAAGTCGGAGTTCGGCAAATTCCAGGAGACGGCGGAGGCTATCAAGAAGGATCCGAGGAAGGTCTTGCGTTCGACCAATGAGATGCTGACGGAGCTCAAGAAGATTCTCACGACCACCAAGGATAAGAAGTACGCAGTTGCAGTGCACGAGGACGCGCAGAAACTCATTCCCAGAACGGCGGCTATCTACAAAGTAATGGAGGATCTCGTGGTCAATGACACTGCCGATGACGTTCGTGCAATGGCTGTGGCACAGAAGCTGGATCCCATCTTCTCGGACTTCAACACCGTCAACGAATGGTACTCGAAGATCAACCCGAAGTCGAACAAGAAGGCCGAGACGAGCTAGCTGCGCAGAGGAGTGCCGCTTCAGAATGAGGCCAGGCCGCCCAGAGGAGCTGGCCGCCCAGAGGAGCTGCGCTGACGATGCGCTAGAGGTCCAGGCCAAGCACTCCTGGACTCAACGTGTTGTGGGAAGCCAGGCGCTTCGCCAGTAGGGAAAACATCGGTGCGACTGGCTGCCCTTCGGATTCTCGGGGCTACTGGGGCTCTGGGCACTCTTAGGACTCGTGGGACTCTTGGGACCCTGAAGGCTCTTGGGACTCTTGGGATGCTCGGTTCGTGGGGCTGTTAGGGCTCCTGAGACTCTTGGGATGCTTGACTCTTGGGACGCCTGGGGCTCTTGGGGTTCTTGGGGATCTTGGTACTTTGTGCGCGGCTACTCTTTGGATCCGTGGTCCAGTGACCAACGCTAAGGCGAGAGCAACGATTCAGATCAACATCATCATCATCATCATCATCATCATCATCATCACCATCAGCAGCAGCAGCATCAGCATCCGCATCATCATCGGCATCAGCAGCATCATCATCAACATCATCATCATCATCGTCATCATCATCATCAACACCGTCATCCCCCCTGCAATTCCCTCCCGCGCCAATCCATCCCCTTTCCTCCAGTGCCGTTTTGGCCGAAGCACGTTGGCAGTAATGAAGTTGCCAAGTGTGTTCTTTGTGATGTGCATCTGCTTCGTTTCTCGAACTAGTGGCATGTCCGTGCGCAGAGGAGGTATTAGGCGATGCCTTGATGAGGCGATCAATGCTGATTCTAAGCAATCGTCCGCTTCGGGGCATCGACCTGGAGGTGTGAGAAAAAAACAAAAAACAGTTCTTTCGGCCCACGGTGGCACTGCCACAGAAGAGTGCAATTTTACACCGTTTAGCTCTGCCATCAAACGAGACTGGGGACGGGGCAAGCTCCAGGCAAACGTTGCACAATAATGCTGAGTCAAGGCTGCCGCACAAGGCGCAGAACAGCTGGGAAAGCTCGCTCACACATCAGACGTTCGGAATGCAGCTCGTGACATGTCACGGGCAATTGGCTGGCCAAAGCAATACCCGCTTATGGAATGGATTGACGTCCCTACTACTCGGGGTGAGTGCACTCCGCATCCAATAATGTGCCCGATCAAGATGGTCGAGCGCATCGTCCAGGACGAGCACAGGTTCAACCAAACATTGAGAGGTGACATTGGAGAGATTTCGGATTTTTGGCGCTGCATGCAAGGCGATCCCGTTTACACGGGAATTCAACATCTGATCGACAGGAGAAAGACGATTCCGCTCGGTGTTCATGGGGACAAGGCTGCTACTACCAAGACCCAGTCGCTGCTCACAATCTCTTGGGCGAGCTTGCTCGGGCAGGGGTCGACGAAAGAAACTCACCAGGCATTTACCACGATCAAATCATCGGACATAACTGGCAGAACTCAGGCTTCTCTCTGGACACGGTTTGCATGGAGTATGAATGCTTTATGTGACGGAATGATCCCAAATCTTGATTGGAAAGGCCGGCCCAATCCAGAAGCTGGCCGTCCAATCATCGGTGGATATAAGGCCGCCTTCATACATTTACGTGGTGATTGGGAATTTCTAGCTGATGCCGAGACTGTGAACGCACCGAGATGGGATCAGGAGCCTAACATGTGTTTATTCTGCAATGCTTCGAACAGAACTCCAGGATTGATGTGGACAGACTTTGGGCATGAAGCTGGCTGGAGGGGTACAGGGAGAACCCGCGGGAGCTACCAGGCTGCCACGACAGCCGCTGGAACATAATTGCCACCGGTTTACATCATAAAAACACTCAGGCTGGAAGGAGTACAACCAGATGTACTACATGCCGTTGACCAGGGCTTGGCATCGCACTGCGTTGCCAACGTGTTCATCGAAGTGATGCGGGACCACCTGGAGGGTTCAAATTGGCATGACAAGTTGGTTTCTCTCCAGAACAGGTTGAAGGAATGTGGAAAAGCATCGGGCTTCAAGGTTGATGGAGAATTGACTTTTGAGAGAATCCGAACGAAAAACATTGGCCTACATTGAAGGCCAATGCTGCAAACACCAGACACATCTCCAGATTTGCTTTGCTGTTGTGTAAGGAATTTAATACAGGTTCAATTCATGATAAGAGGCGCTTGGGCATAATGACATTGCTGGTCGGATTTTACGGCATCGTGGAGACAGAAGGCCGATTCCTGAGTGTGACCACGCGACGAGAATTACCTATACTTGCAAAGAACCTTCTCAGCATGTACGGTGCGTTATCTCTTGAAGCTCTGCGCGGTAATATGAGGTCTTGGAAGATGGTTCCAAAATTCCATATGTTCCAACACATGTGCATTTCCCCTAGACTGAACCCAACAGTTGGGTGGACTTACGGAGATGAGGATTTGCAACGCTTCTTGAAACAAGTTGGGCTTTCGTGCCACCCAGCTCGCATGGCAGAGACGTTGTTGCATAAGTGGTTTGTTTTCTTGGCTGAGTCGAGGTGCGAAGCTTGACTTGGATGGGCAATGTCGCCCTGGCAAGCAAAAACCATAAGCATTCCACCAATGCCCCCTAATTCTCCACCGTCCGCCCTGCTATATCCATAGGGTTTCCGCCCGTGTTCCGCCAGCCCTGCCAGCGACTGCTGCTGCTGCTGCTGCTGCTGCCGTTGCTGCTGCTGGCTGTTGCCGCCGCTGCCGCTATCACTGTTGCAGCTTCCACTGCTGCTGCTACTGCTACTGAAATGTATGCTGCTACTGCTTCTACTGCTGCTACTACCGCCGCTACTGCTGCTACTGCTGCCGCCGTGCTATTACGGCTGCTGCTGCCACTGCTGATACTCCTACTGCTACTGCTTCGGGGGGCCTCAAGACAGCCCAAGATGGCCCCAAGAGGGCCCCAAGACAGCCTAATAACGCCCCAAGACGGTGACAAAAAGAGCCTAAGGGCGGAATCGCGAACAGGACAATCGAGCCTTCTGCCCTCAGGCTCCCAAGGGGCAAGCCATCAAGAGGCCACCAAGAAAAACAGCAGTTATCCCGCAGGAATATTCACAATTGTCTCCAGGAGGCACCCGAAAGTCCATAGACTAGATCCTGACCAACATCACGAGGCTTCTGACCCACAACCCGCGCGCGGTGGCGGGGTTTGCCGCAGGCAGCTGGATGCAACACATGCTACAACTGCATACCAGAGACAACGCAAAATGATGTAAATGAGCACAAACATGTGATCGGATGAGGGTGCCTCCTCCTCCTCCTCCTCCTTTTCCTCCTCCTCCTCCTCTCCAGAGCTTGCTCCCAGTTGAGTCCGCATTCTATATTGCTCTGTAGTATAGCCTTTTTGGTTCTAGTCTTTTCTCCCTGCATGTGGGAGTCGCTTTCCACATTCCTGCCCCGACTGATAGATTTGTCTCTTCAGTCTGCCATCTCCGCCGCGGTCTGTGCGCGGCACGATACTGTGGTCAATCTCTCCTGTCCAGCGCCGCCGCCGACGCAGGTCGAGCTGCGCTGCCCGGAGGTGCACGTCCCGCCGATCCACGTGGAGTGCTTGTCAGAGGGCACGGGCGTCGTCGGGCACCTGGCTTACCTGCTCGCTGGGCTCACCCTCTTCGGGACGGGCTGGCTCTGTGGGGCGCTGGTTGCCATGCCCACGTGGTTGTGTTCCAGGAGGCGTACCTCTCGAGTCGAGCCTTCGGCCCAGGCTACTCAGCCATCAGAGGCAGAGGGAAGTCTTCAGGACCTTGCTCAGAAGCAGCTCACGTTGATCCAGGCTCGTCGCCATGGCGAGAGGAGGTGATGTGCTGCTGGTCAAGTACAATGTGCCAGGTCCCGATCTCTGGCATGAGAGAATAGTGCTGGCGGTCCATCCCACCGAGGCAGGGCACTACTATATGCTGACCCCCGACGGGGATGCGCACATTGAGGATTGCTCGCCCGCCTCCGAAGACGTCGACAGGATCCGAGGTGCTGCTGGTCTTGGCGATACCCCGCCCGCGCTGCAGGGTGCACCCATCTACCGCTTCAGGGACGTGCCGACCGTGGATGATTTGCGTCAGCAGGTCCTCGATGCGGCGCTGGCCCTCGGGCTCGCGGCTCCTGGCGAGATACCGCGGGTTCGCCGAGTGGGAGGAGAAGACCTGGTGCCTCGAGCAGGGCCTCCGCCCCCACAGGGGCTGGCTGACCCCCGGCCCCCCGGGCAGGGGGTCCAGGCGGCGGGCGCCGCCGTGCCGGCCCCTCGAGCGGACCTCGCGTGGGTAGCTGCTGAGGACGCCGAGGACCTGGCGAAAGGCACTGAGGTCGAGATCACGGTTGACACCATCTCTGCGGGCGACAGGGCCATCATGCCATGGAAGGGAGGCTTCGTCGCGCTGCGGCAGATGACTCGCCCCGAGGTGTATCCCTTCACCTACGATGACCTGCGTGTGCAGCCCGTGCGTTTCGACTCGAGCGGAACGCGCAGGGTCACGTTCAGCGAGGGGGTGCAGCGGCAGGATGACACGCTGCCCGCGGGTGGACTGGATCTGCAGGGCCCTCGTACGGCTTCCTGGTTCTGCCGTCACGTGGCCGAGAACGGACCGACGCCCCAGGCGGCACATGAGGCTTGGCTCCGCAAGGCCAGGCTGCACCATGGCGATCGCGCCATCCACGAGCACTTCGTTCTGTCGCAGGTGCTCTCAGCCGCGGTGTGCCACGACCAGCTGAATGTGCCGGCTTTGAAGTCCATGGAGCTCGTCATCAGGAGGCTCCAGCTCATCAAGTCGGCCTACGCGCACTCGGCCTCCGCGCCTGACTTCTCTGGCGCAGACCACTTCCTGGGCTGGGGGCCTGCCACCGCCTCCGCATCGGTTGCGCCTGAGTTGGCCGCCCATGTGGCTACCAAGTTCAGGGACGAGGCCGCCATCCTCAAGGAGTCGCGGAAGGCTGCTGAGGAGCGTCGCGGACGTGGAGGCGGAGGCAAAGGAGGCAAGGGCGGTGGAGGCAGAGGAGGCAAAGCAGGGCTCGCCCCGGCCGACGGGGAGGGGGGCGGATGACCATGCTGCCTTCTGGCGCGCGGGCCTGGTCCACCCGCGGTGCTGTGCCAGAGGACCGAGCATCGGCAGATTTTGATCGGTATGTTGAGGCGAGTCGTCAACGTGATTTGTTTCCTCTGCCAGCTGTCGATGTTGATGAGCGCCCTGATCCCGGGCTGTCTGCTACCGTCTTCAAGCGTATGTCGAGGAGACGTTCGAGGCAGCTGCTCGCCAACGGGGTCGTCGAGACGCTCAACGTTTTGGCTTCCCCGGCCGCCATCTCTTCCTTCAGGCCCACGGCTGCTCATCGTGCTGCCCATGGCCAAGTTTTGTCTACGTTGGCGGCAAGGCCTACTTGCACATCCTTGTACAAAGACCGCGAAGCCCTCCAGGCGCTTTGTGGATCGGAGTTCTCCTATGCTGGGGGGGGCTCCAGTTGCAGCGTGGAGCCGTATGATCGAGGCCGGGTCTCGATGCCAGCAGCGGGGGCTTCGCCTCCGTGGCTAGCAGATGTCATCGACGATTCCGGCAGAGGCGTAGTCGACGGCTTCACCACCGCGATGCTCCGCTCGCCCGTCGAGATGGGAGCCATCATGGAGCAGCAGGCACATATTAAGCCCTACATGGGCGTGAGGCTCAAGAGGGACAGGTTGCTATACTACCAGTTCGTCCGCGACCTATTCGAGTCCAATCTTGTGGATTTCGGGACGGACGCTTTCGAGACCGTGTACCCGTTCTTCGTACGCAAGAAGTCGGGCAAGCAGCGGCTCGTGTGGGACTGCCGGGTGGCCAACATCCGCTGGCGCAGTCCGCCCAAGATCCGCATGGCGAGTGGCTCGGCGTTCGCAGGTTTGCAGATCCCGCCGGAGCTGCAGGAGCATGGCATGTGGGGTGCCGGCTCCGACATCGCGGACTACTTCTTTTGGCTCGCCATGCCGCCTGACCTGCGGCCCTTCTTTGCACTGCCGCCTGTGCCAGGCGCTCTGTTGCTCGAGTGGGGTGTCCCCGCTGCCTTGGGCGGGACACTCCATGGCCTTTTAGAGGTCAGACCTCGCCTTCGCTCCGTGCCGATGGGCTGGACCTGGGCGATGTGGCTGGCGCAGCGTGTGCACATGCATCAGATCTGTCTTGCGTTGCCCTGGGCGCCCTCGAGACTCATGGAGGAGGGGGCCCCTGTTCCTGAATGGCGCTCGGATCTCCCAGTTCTGAATGTATATTGTGACAAAGGGGTTCTTGCGACGAGCCCCAAGATGGCGAGGGAGACTCGGGATGCCGTCACTGTCCAGCTCGTCAAGTCAGGCTTTGTCGTTCACGAGGTCTTCGGTCCCGTTAGGCAGTTCACCGCTCTGGGTTACCACATCGACGGGGAGGCTATGAAGGTCTGGGTCGATCCGATGCGCAGGGAGCGAATTGCTGCCGCTGCCCGAGCTCTGTCGCGACGGCCTCGGATCACAGGTTTGGCGTTGAGTCGGTTCATCGGTCATTGCATCGCCGCTTTCCTCATCTTCCGCCCTGGGCTCTCGGTATTTAGGCGCATGTATGACTTCGCTGCTAAGTTGGGGGCTGCTCCAGGACGTCTCTGGGCTGAGGCCGCTCACGAGGCTCGTCAGGTGTCGTATCTCATCCAGGTCACCATGTCGGATCTCTGCCTGGAGTGGTCGGAGAGGGTCCTCGCTACCGATGCGTGTCTTTCGGGGTTTGCCGTTGCCGCTACGCGCTGGCCTCAGGAGGTCATCAAGGAGCACGGGTCCGTCCGAGAGAAGTGGAGGTATCGGAGCCGTCTGCCGTCTGCGACTGCACCTCGCGATGCTGCCCTGCCTGCTTTCGGCGACCCCTTCAGTGACATCAACACCGTAAAGACCATCGCCGAGCCGAAAGCTATTTCGACGTACGAGCCGAACCCCGATTTCGCCGAGATCGACCCGGGATACCTCAGGAAGGAAGACTGGAAGCTACAGTATGCCTCAAGGTTTCGTGGTCGTGATGGCCCTATCTCAGTACTAGAGAGTGTCGGTGTGGCCTCTGGGGTTCGTCATACTACGAGGGGCCTCTATGGGTTTCGAAGGCGACACCTCCTACTAGGGGACAACCTGGGCACTGTGCTGGCCATGGAGAAGGGCAGGTCGTCGTCGTTCTCTCTCAACAAGTCATGCCGCAAGACCGCAGCCTTTTCAGTGGCTTCGGGGTCGCGTTACGTGTACCGCTGGATCCCTTCAGAGAGCAACCATGCCGACGAGGGCTCCCGCCTCTGGGAGCCGCGCCGGCGCTCCGCCTGTGCAGCGGACCCTCCGCCCGGCGCAGGGGCCACCATCTCGCTCGCGGAGTGGCTGGAGCTGGACGAAGAGGACGACGCTCGCCTCTGGGGACGCCACGAGAGAGGCCCGGGCAGCCTCCCGCGCTTCTCTGGCGGGCAGCGCCCGGGCCAAGGCCGTGGAGGGGCGGGGCACCTTCCTCGAGTCCAGTTCGGTGAGCACCAAGACGTACAAGGACTACGATCAGCGCCACTCGGATTTCCAGGAGTGGATCGCCCAGAACCGGCTGTCGACCAAGTTGGAGAGGCAGCCCGACCTCGTGCTCACGGACTACATCAACCACATGTGGACGACGGGGCACGACGTCTCGGAGGGAACGAAGGTGCTGGCTGCCTACATGTACTTCTACCCCGACTACTCGAAGGCCGGGAGGCATGTCCTCCCGCGGGCCCGCAAGGCCCTCCGGGGCTGGAGGAGGCTCGAGCCGGGCAGGACCAGGCCGCCGATCCCGCTGCACCTGCTCGCGCTGCTGTGGCTCGAGATGATCCACATGGGGTCCCCTCTCATGGCTCTGGCGTTGGTCACGATGTGGGTCGCATACCTGCGGCCAGGGGAGGCCCTGTGGAGCCTGCGCATGCACGAGGAGCTGGATCAGCACCCTTCCAAGGCCAACCTCTTCGAGGAGAGCCTGGTGCTGGACTCGGCCGACCTCCCATGGCTGGGGGACCTGCTGGCAGGACTCAGGAAGGGGCAACCAGACAGGCTGTTCTTCGACTTCAAGTGCCCGCTCCTCGGCCAGGCCATGGTGGGAGCGGCCAAGAAGGTCGGTCTGGAGAAGCTCAAGATCACCGCGTATCACATGAGGCACTCCGGCCCCAGCCACGACATCCTGTTCAAGAGAAGATCGTTGGCAAGCGTCAAGGCAAGGGATCTGTGGCTCTCCGATCGCACGGTGAGGAGGTACGAGGCCCACGGACGCCTCCTCCAACAACAGGCAAAGGTCTCGGACGACACGAACAAGAAAGGTGCCCTGGCTTTAGACAAGTTGAAGGACGCATTCCACACCTCTTTGTTCCCACGGGCCGCCGCCTCGGCCAGGTGTGCCGGGCCGTCGAGGTCGGCCAGGGGTGCCGGGCCGTCGAGGTCTTCTCAGGCTGTGGGAGGCTCTCGCAAGCTCTCGCCAGCGCCGGCGTCCCAGCAGAGGCCTGGGACATCGAGCAAGGCGAGGCGGCTGACTTTCTGAGGATTGAGTCTCTACGCAAGCTGGAGAAAGAGATTGTGGACCGCGTCATCAGTTTCGTCTGGTTTGGTCTTCCTTGTCAGACATGGTCCAGAGCCAGGCGCTGGGACGGGCGAGGGCCAGGCCCACTTAGAGATGATGATACTCACCTGTACGATCTGCCCGACCTCTCGCCCGGTGATGCAGGCAAAGTGCGTTTGCATAATTTACTTTTGAGGCAAATGGCAAGAATTTTTGAGCTGGCAGCTGAGTGTGGCTGCCCCTGTGCCCTTGAGAATCCAGCCACGAGCCGCTTCTGGCTCACCAAAGAAGTCAGGTCGTTGTCGCTCCTGCCAACGGCCAACATGCAGGTAACAGACTTTTGCCAATTTGGGATTCCCTGGAAGAAGGCCACCAAAATCCTTTTTGTGAACTGGCCACCGCTTGCTCTGCCGCGGTGCCGACCCTCCAAGTCCGTCTGCTCACGCTCAGGCCTCTCGCACACGATACTGGAGGGAAAAGACGCCAAAGGAGTTTGGCGCACGGCCATGGCGCAGCCGTATCCTCACGAGCTTTGCTCGCTGCTGGCCAATATTGTTGCCCCAGCCCTGTAGTTGCGCTGTCGCAAGGCACGGCTACGCTTGCATTTGGGGTTTTGGAGTTTGAAGTCTCAGTGGCTTGTGCTCGCCTGCATCTTTGAAAGAGTCAAATTATCTCGCACAAGCCTGCAAATGCACCTCTCAGTTGATGTGGCAATGTCAAAATGCATCGGTCTCATCTCCAGAGCTTGCCCCCAGTTGAGTCCGCATTCTATATTGCTCTGTAGTATAGCCTTTTTGGTTCTAGTCTCCCTCCCTTCCCTCCCGAGTTTGAAGTCTCAGTGGCCTGTGCTCGCCTGCGTCTTTGAAAGAGTCCAATTATCTCGCACAAGCCTGCAAATGCACCTCTCAGTTGATGTGGCAATGTCAAAATGCATCGGTCTCATTATCTTTCTCCTCCTTTCCCTCTCCCTCTCCCTCCTCCTCCTCCTCCTCCTCGTGCTTTTCCTCCTCCTCTTCTTCCTCCTCCTCCTCTTAACTCCTCCTCCTCCTCCTCCTCCTCCTCTTCAGGGCGTCTTTTTCTAGAAATTGACGCCCTGAAAAAGCACCGTGTCAAAATCCCCGACCAACTGAGTATTTCAGGGTGACTTGGATGGTCGGGGTGCCCGAGGCGCCGCGGGCGCTGCCGGCGCCGCCAGCGCCGCCGGCGCCGCGGGCGCCGCGCGCGCCGCAGGCGCCGCCGCCGCCAGCGGGGCCGCGGGCGCCGCGGGCGCCGCTGGCGCCACCGTGGCTGCGGCCGAGGCCGCTGCCGCCGCGGCGGCTGGCTGCCCGGCTGAGTCCGCGGCCGCCGTGGCCTGCGCCGCGGCCTGGGGGCCGGCTGCCGCGCGCGCCGCGGCCGCCGCTGCCGCCGCCGGCCCCCTTCCGGCGGCGGCGGCGGCGGAGGGCGCGGCCCTCGGCGCGGCCCTCGGCGAACAGCCGCGCCAGCAGGGCAGCTGCAGCAGCAGCAGGGCAGCAGCAGCAGCAGCAGCAGCAGCAGCAGCCGCAGCAGCCGCAGCAGCAGGGCCGCAGCAGCAGCCGCAGCAGCAGGGCGGCAGCAGCAGCAGCAGCAACAGCTGCAGCAGCAGCAGCAGCAGCAGCAACAGGACCCAGCAGCTGCAGCCGCAGCAGATCAAGTTGAAGTCTAGACGCTTAGACGCCGACAACGACTCTGTCAGAGACAGGCAGACAGGCGTTCCTACAGCTCCTCATTCCTATCAGCGTCAAGCGGTTGGGGCTCAACCTGTGGCGGCACGAGCTCAAGCTATCACATTGCCAGTCGCCGGGGCCGTCGGCCACCACCTTATACCCCATTGCCCCCCCCCATGGCAGCAGTATTGTGGCGACAGGTGGGGGCGCTGCCGAGGGAGCGCCCGTGGTTGGAGACCAGTTTCCTCCCGACAAGGGGTCCACGACGCCTCCCCGAGCGGATGGCGAAGTCTCCGCAGGCACATCTCACAGCTTCAGAAAGGACGAGCCTTCAGCTCGAGAACCAGAAACTTCAGCCAATCAGCTCCCTGGGCAGCCTGACCAGACGCCTGCCCTGGGACCCGACTCGCATCACAGAGGCTTGCGCCTTCACTCCGCTGAGCGCCCCCCCCTGGACACTTCTATGCCGAGAGAAGCAGCCTTCAGCTGCGAATGGGCCAACCCTGCCACCGCGGAGAACCATGCCCTCGCCCTGCAGCCGACTCCCCCCGCGGACGTTGACAGAGGGCTTGATGGCTGTCGCCGCACCCCCGCCGCCCCCCGCGGATGCAGCAGAATGGGCGCAGAAAATGGGCCTTTAGCCCTTGGGGCGACCTGTGAGATAGCAGAGTTGAGGGAGTCTGCTGCTAGGGGCTCCTCAAGTGGACTGGCGGGCGCCGACTGCGACGCGGCGGTCAGTCGCCCCTCTGGTCACTCCCGTAACCCCGAGGACTCTCGTCCGCCTCCCGCCCCGCAGGCTGGCAGTCTCAGGCGGGACGAACCTCTTGCTCGGGACTTTCACACGGAACGAGCCTTCAGCTCGAGGCCCCAAGACACATCGAGCAACCACAGAGGTGAAGAGCCTTCAGCTCGAGAGTCGGAGGCGGCACCAATGGTCGTCGGGAGCGCCGCTGGGCACGTGGCCACGAGCGGCGACGGGAGTCGCCGCGCGCCCGCCGGCCTTCTTGGATTTGACAGCACTGCGCACGTAGAGAATGGGCCTTCAGCCCGAGGAGCTCCCAGCGAGACAGCAGCTTTGAGCGATCCTGCAGCTTGGGGCGCCCCAAGCGGACTGTTCGGCGCCGACGGCGATGCAACGACCAGTCAACTCCGTGGGCACTCCTGTAACCCCCAAGACTTTCGTCAGCCGCCCGCCCCCCAGTTGGACAGTCGCGGATGTGGCGAGCCCTCAGCTCGAGACTCTCACACGGAACGAGCCTTCAGCTCGAGGGCCCAAGGCGTACCGGGTAACCACACAAGTGACGAGCCCTCAGCTCGAGATCCAGAGGCAGTGCCAATGGACTTAGAGACAGGCGCAGAGGCCGTGACCACGAACGGAGACGACTTCGACCCTCCTGGGACTCCTGGTGTTCCCGTGATGGGCCCTCCCCATCAGGTGGGCCCTCGCGCCAGCTGCGGGCGACCGACCGACCGCGCCGACCTCGACGTTGACGGGGCCAGCCCTGCACCGGGGCCACCCCTGGGAAGGCGCGCCGAAGACCGCGCGGCAGGCGCAGACTGCATGACGAACAGATCAAACGGCCTCCGCCTTGACTCCGCCGCCTCTCTCCCTGGAGACGCGGGCACTGACACCAGAGCCGCGCCCAGCCTCCGCGCCGCTAGCCTCGCAGAAGAGACTGGCCTTCAGCCAGGTGGAAGAGAGCAAGAGACGGGTGGGCCTGGCAGCAGTGGCCACAGAGAGGCACGCCCTTCTGCTGCGACGACCGGCCGTAACCGACCTTCCCTGGGAACGACGACGGGGTTGTCCATGGGACGGCCTCAGGACGAGCCTTCAGCTCGAGAACCAGAGACTTCAGCCAATCGGTTCCCTGGGCAGCCTGACCACCACGACGCCGACGCCGCCGACGACGACCTCCACGGACGCCGTCGCCTCGACGACGACGACGACGACCACGACCACGACCGCGAGCACGAGCACGACCATGACGACGATAGGGGGTTGGAAGAGGAAATTCTCGACAGTCGTAGGGACGAGCCTTCAGCTCGAGAACCAGAGACGATGCCCACGGACGCCGAGAGCGTCGCAGAGACTGCGGTCATGAGTGACGGCTGCATTCTCGAAGATCGGCCCAGGAGCCTGTCCAACGAGGGTGGACGGCCCGTGCTTGAGGCTGCCTAGTGGGGTGGCAGTGTCGACGATGGGTGGGTGGACCGAGCGCAGTCCGCCCACGTCCCCGATCCACATCCCATTGGCTCACGCCCACACTCCGCCGACCACCCTCCCTTGGACGCGTCCAGACAGAGAGGAGCAGCCTTCAGCTGCGAGGTCATAGCCCATTGCTGCCCCCCTGGCAACAGCATCGTGGCGACAGGTGGGGTTGCTGCTGAGGGAGCGCCCGCAGTCGGTGACCAGCCTCCTCCCGAGAAGAGTTCCACGACGCCTCCCCGAGCGGATGGTGGAGGTTATCCCGAGCCTCCTCGCAGCATCGAGGGTCAGGAGTTCACACCGGAGCGTGCGTGCGTGCGGGCCACAGACGGGCGCGTGTTTGCGATCGGCACCGACCCTCCAGCCAGCGCCTCCGAGGCCATCCCCGTGGCCGACGGTCGATGCGGAGCCCATTGCTTGCAAAGCTTGGGGCTGCCGATGCAGCTGGTTGGCGGCGAGACCCAACAACGCCCCGCTGCGACTCCGCCCGCCGCCGCCCCTGGTACTCTCGAAGACCCCTTGCCGGGTGACCACGAACGCGCCTTGCAGAGGCAGGACATCGAGGCCATCCGCCAGCTTGTCGAGAGAAGTCCCTTCGCGCCCATTCGCCCTCGTTCCCCTGTCAGCGAATCCGCCCGAACGGACAGCGAATCGCAGCCACTCACGCCCGAAGGCCGGACCACGCTGAGGAAGGCGACCCCCGCCCTGGCGAAAGAAACGGTGTCTGGCAACGTGCCTGGGCCAGGTGCGACCCGCAGCACTCCCACACATGACAAAAACCACGCTGCGACAGACGGGGGCGCGCTCGTGGGCGAGGGCGGGCGCGGGTCTGAAGGCGAGCGCCAACGGGGGGGGCCTGCCCCCGCCTACCACAGTGCAGCGGCCCTCTCAGCCCCAGCTGCTGGAGGCGACTCGGCCTTTACTTGGCGGCCAACCGCGCGGCCCGCGCCAACCCGCAAGTCCCCGCCAGACTTCCGTGCACTGGTTGCCGCCGCCCCCCGCGAAGCCGTGGGCGATTCCGGCGGCGGGCCCAACCAGTCGGAACAGTCGCAGAGCAGCGTGCGTGAGCAGCATGCGGAGCAGGAGCCGGAAGAGCCCGATGAGCAGGAGCTGCCGGCCGCCCACGGGGAGGGCGCGGAAGTAGCGCCAGCGCAGAAAAG